CCTGATCCACACTTCCCCCGTGGGTCAACTCCAGAGTTAACTCGCGGGGCCCAGGGCTGCGCCCTGATCCACCCTCCCCCCGTGGATTAATTCCGGAGTTTACTCACGAGGCCCAAGGCGGCGCCCTGATCCACCCCTCCCCCGTGGATTTACTCCTGAGGGCCCAGGGCGGCGCACTGATCCACCCCTCCCCCGGGGATCAAATCTGGAGTGACTTTACGGGACCCAGGGCGGCGCTGTGATCCACCCCTCCCCCGTGGATTAATTCCGGAGTCAACTCACGGGGCCCAGGGCGGCGCCCTGATCCGGGAATGCAAGGAAGAGCGCGCCAGTGGCCGCGGAGGACCACGGGCGGCGCATCTCCCGGGGCGCGGGGAGCGCAGGGGCAGCGCCAGGGATGACGGAGTTGACGGGGCGCATGCGCATAAAGGCCCAACAGGGTCTGTCATTGTCGAGTGACTGAACAGACGCATAATTCGTTGCGCGGCAGGCCAGCGGACGCGCGAGGGTCGCGGGCGAATAGCGGACCGCGGCGCAGGGGCGCGCGGCGCCGAAAGACGCGGAAGTAATCGCCCGAAATAACGAGGTCGAGTGCGGGGCACGTCGAGTGGAGCGCGGGGAGAGGAAGCTCGTCGCGACCTCGCCAGACGCGCGTGTTCGCGGGCCGAAGTTGAAGGAGATTGCTGTGACATATGCGAATCAGGACATCCGGTGCCACGCAATGAAGGATAGAGTTGCGCAGCGGGCGAAGGAGCGGGGACAGCACCTGCTGCGGGTCGCAGCAAGAGATCGCGCTCGCCACGCAGGGGAACAGAGGACGCCGCACATGGTAGAGGACAAGATAAGGTGTCCGGGTTACCACGAGAAGGAGTGCGCAAGCCTGCCGGGGCGGCCCCCTCCCTCGCGAAGGGCATGCCAGTTGTTTTGGAGACCACCTGGACAGGTCGAGGAAGCAGCTTCTGCACGGACGCACAGCAACGATTCATGGCCGCACGTTGCGCGAGGCTGAGGACGTCGGAGATGGCGAAGACGCGGTTCTCTTGCACTCGCCGAAAGTCATAGCGTTGAACTTCCAGACAAATGACTGGCACCTCCCAGGCCGGGGCCAGGGCCGCGCCCGACATTCCCGTCGAAAGGGCGCCAGCGGTTTTCAGGCGGGCATCGAATAAAGCCAGCGTTGGGTTCGAAGCACACTCGGTCCATGATCGCGCCGTCGTTGGCCGCGACGTCGCACGCCGTGCAAAAACGGACACCAGGCGCAGCGATAGCTGAATTCTTTTTACGCTTCGCGTATCCCCACCAGCCCATCTCACAACAGCAACTCATGCGAAGCATGTCGATAGTCGTGTTTTTCAGGCGTGTGTCCATTTGGCCCCGCATATCTCCCCTGTTCCTCCTTCCTCCCGCCTCCTTGTACATCCTCCTTGTGGGGGGAGCGGGAGAAGGACGAGGCGGAGGAGGAGGGAGAGAAAGCGCTCCTCGTGATTTGAGTCGTTTGGGGTTTCTCGTCCTGGTGTGAGTCGTTCGGGCCCTTCTTCCTGGTGTGAGTCGTTCGGGCTCTTCGTGGTGTGAGTCGTTCGGGCTCTTCGTCCTGGTGTGAGTCGTTCGGGCTTCTCGTGGTGTGAGTTGTTCGGGCCCCTCATCCTGGTGTGAGTCGTTCGGGCCCCTCCTCCTGGTGTGACTCGTTCGGGCTCCTCGTGGTGCGAGTCGTTCGGGGCCCGCGTCGTGGTGTGAGTCGTTCGGGCTCCTCGTGGTGTGAGTCGTTCGGGCGCCTCGTCCTGGTGTGAGTCGTTCGGGCTCCTCCTTCTGGCGTGAGTCGTTCGGGTTCTTCGTGGTATGAGTCGTTCGGGCCCCTCGTCCTGGTGTGAGTCGTTCGGGCTCCTCGTGGGGCCTCTTGGCGGCCTCTTGGAGCCTCTGGGGGCCTCTTGGGGGCCTCTTGGGGGCCTCTTGGGGGCCTCTTGGGGGCCTCTTGGGGGCCTCTTGGGGGCCTCTTGGAGGCCTCTTGGGAGGCTCCTGGGGGCCTCTTGGGGCCATCTTGGGGCCTCTTCTCTTCCCTCCTCGAAGCGCGAAGCGCTGAGAAGAAGGAAAAAATGAGCCCCCCTTAAAATCAATGATTTTGCTATGAAGGAAGATGAGCGCGGCCCCCTCGGGAGGCCAAAATGGGGCCAAAACCCTCGTAAAAGCAATGATTTTGGCTTCACAGAAGAGGAGGGGGCTACAAGAGTGCCCCCCCGTCGGGGCCAGAATCCTCGTGAGGGTCGTCGTTGTTTAGCCCTCCCAGGCGTCGAAAAAGACCCCCCTGACGACCCGCGGAACTCCCTCTCCAGGCCCAGGGGGAGGGGGTAGGGGGAGGGGTAAACCCCTCCCCGAAGGGGAAGAAGGGGGGGTGGGGGGTTGAGGCCAGAGAAAGCTCGCTAAACCACTCACGCCCAAAGGGCTGGTGGG